AGAGAGAGAGAGAGAGAGAGAGAGAGAGAGAGAGAGAGATTAACTGAAATGGCGAAAGCTGTAGATTTTGAGTGAACGGTTGAGATGTGGAGGCACTTTCACTTAGTTTAGTAATTTTTGTCAGTGTCAGTAAGAGGGGACCATACGAGACAGCTAGCGTGTTACGAACGAATGTGTTTTTTTAATGCACACTTTGTCAGTGCATCTTTTTAAATATGATAGACGATATATCCTCCCCCCTCTCCCCCCACTCCTTGCAAACATACAAAATCATTGAGTGAAACTTCAAATATTTGGAGGACCTGCAGTTTAGGCGCTTTGGTTGTTTGTGTGTATAGCAAATTTTAATGTCTGTGACAGAGTCTACAATGCTGTCGGGGGTTACCAGTACATTCTCTTTCACAAATACAATGTATAAGACAGTAATCTTTTGTTACAGGCAACATCGTGAACGTCTCCTCCATTGGAAGTAAATCCATTGTAAGTATTGTCTTCCGAATGCTCTTTCCTTTTGAACCTTTCCGAGAAAAAACATGTTAGAGTGTCCTTTATTCTCTCTTCTTCTTTGTAGTGGTTCAGACCTGTTTCAAATTCTTTCTTCTGATATAGTTTTGTTTGATTTGATTTGATTTGATTTGATTTTTGGTAACACTTTACTTTTTTATGTGTAGCGTTATTGACCTTATTAACCTATGGCAGTAAAACCCACCTTGAAGAGAAATTCTTAAAGAAGTAAAACCCTCTTCGAAATCTGCCCTGTTTTTGTCTAAAAACATTGAAGAGGTTATCATCGAGCAGTTTTGTCACTACCTGCAAGTTAATAATCCGTTAAGAGTTAAAGCCATTCCAGTCTGCCTATCACAGCACAGAAACAAAACTCCTTAAAGTCACAAATAGCATGCTTTCTGACTGTGATTCAGATAACGTTTTGCAAAACCTTTTAAATTTGTCAGCAGTATTTGATAGAATAGGCGGTCATCCTTCATTGAAGCGATTGAACGAGTCTTAAAAAAAAATTAATGGGACCGCCTTTAACTGGCCTTGTTCTTACTATCGAATCAGTAGGTCTACCAGTCTGTTGGCATAAAAGGACACAAGTCACCTGATCACGTTCTTATTTATGGCGTCCTTCAGGGTTCAGTCCTTAGTGCAGTTTTGTTCACCATAATCTATACTCAGTCTCTGGTCGGGAAAATAATTTATAATGGCTTTAAATATCATTTCTATGCCATTGAGACGCATATTTATGGTTCAACAATGTCTATCAGCCTAAATGAACTTGTCTATTGTACAGAAAATCGTATTGTCTCACAGGGTACTGTATTCATTTATGTGTTCTTATGGTATTTGTGAAACGCTTAGAGCCTCAGGGTTGAGTGCTATAATACACATGGTGTGGGTAAATTTTACTTTCACCCCCGCACACAGATGCACTGCTGTGGGGGGTCAAACTGCAACTGCTGCAGTAAATTTTGCTGCAGGTCGCACAATATAGAC